GCCCCGCCCCTCTGCCTGCTCCTGCCCCGCCCCGCCCCTCGGCCTGCTCCTCTCTGGCCCCGGCCCTGCCCCTCTGGGAATGCTACTCTGACGTGGGTTCTCACACAGGCTCCAACACTATCGCGTGGCGTATGCAGAGGCTGTGGTCTCCCAGAGGTGCCTACCGCCCAACCCCTTGTCTCTATCTCACAATCTAGGTGCCCTTGGTGATCTTTAAGCGGGAGAAGGAGCTGGCCCGAAAACTGGAGTTTGACGGCCTCTACATCACGGAGCAGCCTGAGGATGACGATGTGAAGGGGCAGTGGGACCGACTGGTGCTCAATACGCCGTATGGACCCAGCTCCCAGCTCGGGGCGGGCAGGGGGAACAGGGCTGGGTTTCCACTCCAGCCGGGCCCGGGCCTCAAAACCTGGAGCTCCCGTCGATGCTGGGCCCTAACTTGTATCTTCCCAGGCCTTAGCCCGCCTCTCCATGAAATAGACACACCTCCCTCCCGTTAAAGTACCATGGGTGTGCTAGGGACGCGTGGAGAGTCCTGGGCCCCAGCCCTGAGATTCGGTTCAGTGAGTCTGCGGTGGGGCCGGTAAACCCGGTTGCCATCAAGTTGATTCTGACTCATAGCGACCCTCTAGGGCAGAGTAGAATTGCTCCATAGGGTTTCCAAGGAGCGGCTGGCGGATTAGAACAGCCCACCTTTTGGTTAGCAGCCGAGCTCTTAACCACTGGGCCGCCGGGGCCCCATAGAGGTGGGGCCCGGGAACCTGCATTTTAAGCTCCACCGCCCCCCCGCCCCAACTGTGGTTCTCACCCAGGTGCCCTGAGTGGGAAATATGAAATCGTTTGGTTCATAAACTTAGCCTAGGGAGGGGATGAGGTGTACAAGGACATTACGGTGGGACTCTGGACCCCATCTACACCCCCGCTGTCGTAAGTTCTTAGTGCTGCTGTAACAGAAATACCACTAGTGGGTAGCTTTCACAAACGGAGATGTATTGTCTCAGTTTAGTAGCCTGGAAGTCCAAATTCAGGGCACAAGCTCTAGGGGAAGGCTCTCTCTCTGTCAGCTCTGGGGGAAGGTTCTTGTCTCAGCTTCTCAGGCAGGCCATCCTTGGAGGTCCCAGGCTCGAAGCAGACTAGTGGGCCACTACTGTCTTCAGATAATGTGCCACATCTGCTCCTTTATATCTCCAAAGTGGTTAATTTAAAACACGCCCTACACCGATAATGGCCACATTAACATCACGAAGAAAATCCTATTCCCAAATGGGATTACATCCACAGGTACGTTGATAGTTACCGTTTTAGTGGATTCTGACAGTATACCCATTGCCGTGGAGTTGATCCCCACTCATAGCAAGCCTGTAGAACAGAGTGGAGCTGCCCCATAGGGTTTCCAAGGCTATAATCTTTACAGAAGCAAATTGCCACATCTTTCTCCCACGGAGTGGCTGGTGGGTTTGAACTGCTGACCTTTCAGTTAGCAGCCGAGTGCTTTAACCACTGAGCCACCAAACCAAACCCGTTGCGTTTCAGTTGATTCCGACTCATACGGACCCTATAAGACAGAGTAGAACTGCTCATAGGGTTTCCGAGGAGCTGCCGGTGGATTCGAACTGCCGACCTTTTGGTTAGCAGCCGAGCTCTTAACCACTGTGCCACCAAACAACCAAACCCGTTGCCATCAAGTCGATTCTGACTCATAGCGACCCTGTAGGACAGAGTAGAACTGCCCTATAGAGTATCCAAGGGGCGGCTGGTGGATTTAACTGCCGACCTTTTGGTTAGCAGCCGAGCTCTTAACCACTGCGCCACCAGGGCTCCTTAAATCTTCAGACACACACTTCTCCAAAACCCCCCCACCCCAAACACACACTTTATCGGCCACCTTTACTGGATGCTAGGGCATCAACTCAGCGCTCTGAAAAGTGGTAAATAAGGGGCAAGAATCATCAAACAAAACGTTTACCAGTTAAAACAATGTGAGAACGCACACCACCCTACTGGAGCGGGGGACAGAGCCAGGCTGCCAACTCGGACCCCCCTCCCCACATGCAAGAGCCTCCCCAGTGCCGCCATCCTTCCACACATGCTGGCTGTGAACTCAAGCCCCCTGCCTGGCCTGAGCTCCACCCAAGATGGCAGTGGAGGTAATGGTTGACCTTGGGCTCCACCCAAGATGGCAGCGGAGGTAATGGTTGACCTTGGGCGAGCTTCACGGTGTAGGGTATTTAGAACCTGACCCCGAGTAAGGTGAGGCCCCACTGTACAGAGTTCCTGGGAAAACAAGCGTTGGAACCAAGACTGCCTGCTAAGGAAAAGAATTTCCAGTCACCCGGGCCTGGCTGGGGCTCCTATCCCTTTCCCTCTGACATCTCACGGTTCCTATCTCTTGGCAGGTCTTTCCCCAGCAACTACTGGGACAAGTTTGTGAAGCGGAAGGTGAGCGGATGTAGACGGGGATGTGGAAGGGCCTCCCAAGCTGGGTCCCTTCCCCCCGCCAGGCCACCCAAGCGCTGCCAAGCACTTGCTGGGTGACCTTGAGCAAAGGGCTTTGCCTTCTCTGAGAAGTGTCTGTTTCCCCACCTTGAAATGGATGTAATAATCACACCTCCCCTCAAATGAGATCATACACGTCAGGTGCATAGCATAGTGCCTGGCACAGAGTACCAAAAAAACCCAAAGACGTTGCCGTTGAGCTGATTCCAACTCATAGTGACCCTGTAAGGACAGAGTAGAACTGCCCCCATAGGGTTTCCAAGGAGCGGCTGGTGGATTCAAACTGCTGACCTTTTGGTTAGCAGCCAAGCTCTTAACCACTACACCACCAGGGCTCCTGGCACAGAGTAAGTACTCGATAAATATTAGTTATTTATTCAAAAAGTTAAACATAGAATTACCATGTGACCTAGCAATAAATTGCGATCCTAGGTATATACCCAAGAGAACTGATAACAGCGACCCACACAGATCCTTTGGCATGAATGTTCATAGCAGCTCTATTTACAATAGCCAAAAGGTAGAAAAAACCCAAGCGTCCATCAGCAGATAGATGGATGGGTAAACAAAATGTGGTATATACATACAATGGAATATTATTCAGCCATGAAAAGGAATTAAGTCCTGATACATGCTACAGTGTGGATGAATCTTGACAACATTTTGCTAAGTGAAAGCAGCCAGGTGCAAAAGGCCACGTGGTGTACGATTCCATTTCTGTGAAACATCCAGCTAAGTAAACCCATAGAAACAGAATACAGGTTGGTGGTTGCCGGGGGCTGGGGGGGGGGAGTAACGGGGAGTGGCTGCTTGTTTTATGGGGTTTTATTTGGGGAGGATGGAAACGTTTTGGCACCAGATAGAGGTGGTGGTTGCGACACATTGTGACTGTCCCGAACACCGCTGAATCGTTCCCTTTAAAATGGTTAATTTTGTGTTATGTGAATTTCACCTGAAAAAAAAAAAAGAAGTCCATGAGGGAGGAAATGAGGCACATGTTTCAAGTGCCCAGACTCTGGAGCTGGATTGCCTGCTTTTCCACGCCTAGCCTTCTGTGCCTCAGTTTCCCTCACTTTCAAAGTGGGTTAAAAATATGCCAACCTCACAGGGTTGTTGTAAGGATACCACACAAGCAGTAGCTGGCACATAGGAAAACACTAGGTAAGTGTTGGCTGTTACCATCATTCATTCATTCAGCAAATGCTTATTGAGCACCTACTGGGTGCCAGGAACTGTTCTAGGGACCTGGGATCCAGCAGTGAGCAAACCAGTGATTCTGATGTTCGGGTTGGAAAGCCAGATGGTAAACACATTTATAACATTCAGGTGGTGAGACATGTTGTGGGGGAAAATTGAGCCATGAAGAGGGATGGGGAGTGTGTTGTGTAGGTCAGGAGAGGTGGCTGTTTTACGCAGAGTGGTTGGGAAAGGTTGTGCTATTTAATAAGGAGGTGAGGGAGTGAGCCAGGTGGAAATCTGGGGCAAAGATTGTCCTAGGCAGGGGGAACAGATAGTGCAAAGGCCCTGAGGCAGGAATGTATTTGAGGAACTGCGAGGAGGGCCCTGGGCTGGAGCCCAGTGATCCAGGAGGCAAGTGGGAGGAAGCGAGCTCGGAGAGGTGACAGAGGCTGAACTGTATAGGCTTTCCTGGCTGCTAGTTGTTACTCAGCCCCCAGCACGTGGTGACCCCACGCACAACGGAATGAAACGCTGCCGGGTCCTGTGCCATCACATCTCCGTGACTGGCTACAGGTCAGACCTCTGTGAGCCACAGGGCTTTTTACTGGCGGATTTGTGGAAGTAGATCACCAGGCCTTCCTTCCTAGTCTGTCTTAGTCTGGAAGTTCTGCTGAAACCTGTTCAGTATCACAGCACCACGCAAGCCTCCGCTGACAGATGGGTGGTGGCTGAGCATGAGGTGCGTTGGGCTGGAATTAAACCTAGGTCTCCCACATGGAAGGCGAGAATTCTACCAGTGAACCCCCATGCACCTCACTTCCTTGTCTATCTGCCTAAAAATAATAAATTATCCCAACTAATTGGGCTAATGAGGGTCCCCCCTCGAGGACCTTGGAGAAAGCTCTGATCCTTCTCCCCAGAAAAAAATGCATCTCCAATTTCCCACACAAAGCTCAAGGTGTCCCCAGAAGCCCTGAAGCAGGCTGTGACCCCCTCACCCCGGCCATGCCCACACTGCCCAAGGTTGTCCTCTGCAGGTCCTGGACAAGCATGGTGACATCTACGGGCGGGAGCGGATTGCTGAGCTCCTGGGCATGGACCTGGCCACGCTGGAGATCACAGCCCACAACGAGCGGAAGCCCGAGCCACCGCCGGGGCTGCTCACCTGGTGAGCCAGGCAGCCCTGCTGTGCTGGCCTGGGGAGGCAGGGGAGGTGGCCGGGTCTGACGCCTGGGCACCTGGTTATCTCCCCCTGTACAGGCTCATGTCCATCGATGTAAAGTACCAGATCTGGAAGTTCGGAGTCATCTTCACAGACAATGTGAGGACAAGTCCACGGTGGGCGGAGGGGAGCTCTAGGACGGTTCAGGGGCTCTAGCCCCGGGTGTCCCTACCAAGGAATGACTCCTGGGCCCCTGTCTACCTCTGATCCCAGGGTACCCACTGACCTCCCCCTCAGGCTCCTCATGTCCCGGAGTGCTCCCCGTCCCCAGAACATCCTCTGACTCCCCCAGAGTGCTCTTGAATTCCCAGACGACTTCCTTCTGCAGAGGGCTCCCCAACTCCCCCCAGGATGCCATCTCCCTCAGAGTGAGTCATCAGCCCAGAGTGCTCCTGAGCCTCCAAAGGCTCCCCAACTAGAGACAGCACCCTGACACCAGAGCACCCTCATGCTCTCATATGTTCCCTGACCCCCTGAGTGTCCCAGATTGTGTCCTCACCTGGGTATATACCCGAGAGGCTTGCAAACAGGGACTCTAACAAATCCTTGTACACACGTGTTCACAGCAGCGGTTCTCACCATAGCCAAAACAGTGGGAACAGCCCAAATGTCCACCAACAGATACATGGGTAAACAAATTGGGGTATTTCCATACAGTGAAATATTATTCAGCCATAAAAAAGAATGAAGTCCCAATACATCTGCAACAGGGATGAACCCCAAAACCATAATGCTAAGTGAAAGAAACCCAACAAAAACCAAATTCATTGCTGTCGAGTCGATTCCGACTCATAGCGACCCGATAGGACAGAGTCGAACTGCCCCATAGGGTTTCCAAGGAGCAGCTGGTGGATTCGAACTGCTGACCTTTTGGTTAGCAGCTGAGCTCGTCACCACCGCGCCACCAGGGTTCCCTAGTACCAGCTAACAAAGGTACACCAAAACCAAACCCATTGCCGTCGTCGAGTTGCTTCCAACTCACGGTGACGCTATAGGGCAGAGTAAAGCGAAAGAAGCCAGCCCCCAAAGATCACCTGGTGAATGCTTTCATTTACATGAACTATCCAGAGTCGGCAAATCCACAGCGAGAGATGCAGACTGTCAGGCCCGTTGACCCTCTCGAGTGGTGCCTGACCCCCCAGGATGCTCCCCACGCGTCCCTGCGTGCTCCCTGACCCTGACCTCTGTGCCCACAGTCCTTTCTGTACCTGGGCTGGTACATGGTGATGTCACTTCTGGGGCACTACAACAACTTCTTCTTTGCTGCCCACCTTCTGGACATTGCCATGGGGGTCAAGACGCTGCGTACCATTCTCTCCTCCGTCACCCACAACGGGAAGCAGGTGTGGACGGGGTCTGGCTGAGGAGCGAGTGCTGGACCAGCGGTGTGAGCTGGCAGGGATGAGCCAGCGGGCCGGACCGGGTGGTGAGGGCCGGGGCGCGGGCTGGGCAGAGCACCGGTGAGGGGTAAGGCTGGGCAGGCGGGCTGAGCCAGGGACGAGTGTGGGTAGCGAGGCCCAGGGTATGAGGGCCCAGTGAGTTGAACGGCGGTAAGGGCTGGCAAGGCTGGGCACGGGAGAGGGTCAGCTGAGGTAAGGCTGATCCGCCCCTGCCTGCCCCCAGCTGGTGATGACCGTGGGCCTCCTGGCAGTGGTGGTCTACCTGTACACCGTGGTGGCCTTCAACTTCTTCCGCAAGTTCTACAACAAGAGCGAGGATGAGGACGAGCCCGACATGAAGTGCGACGACATGATGACGGTGAGCCCCCATCCCCCAATGCGCTTGTGCAAGTTTCTGACCCTCCCGGATCCTTAGTTTTCCTGTAAGTAAAATGGGCTCATAATAGTACTTACCTCATGGACTTGTGAGAGTTGCATGAACTGATAGACGTAAAGTACTTTGAACGGTGCCAGGCACACAAAACCAAACACCAAAACCGTTGCCATTGAGTCGGTTCCGACTCATAGCGACCTTATAAGGACAGAGTAGAACTGCCCCATGGGGTTTCCAAGGAGCGGCTGGTGGATTCGAACTGCTGACCTTTTGGTTAGCAGCCTAGCTCTTAACCACTATGCCAGCAGGGTTCCCCAGGCTCAATAAATGTTAGCTAGAGTCCCTGGGTGGTGCAAATGGTTAACATGCTCAGCTGCTAATGGACAGGTTGGAGGTTCAAGTCCACCCAGAGGCGCCTTGGGAGAAAGGCCTGGTGATCTACTTCTGAAAAATCACCCATTGAAAAACCCTGTGGAGCACAGTGCTACTAGGACGCACGTGGGGTCCCCATGCGTTGGAATCCACTTGATGGCAACTTGTTCCTGGTTAAATGTTAGCCATTGTTTTAATATTATCTGGGTTTTTAAAAAATATTATTATTGGAAAGGTGCTGTAGCAGAGAGCCCCTGCCCCTTCCAAGCTGTGTAATTTGGGGTAGGCTCCTCAACCTTTCGATGCCTTTGTTTGCTGTTTTCTAAAATGGGTGTGGAACAACAGTGCCTGCCCCGTAGGGTTGCTTTTAGGTCTAAATGGTCCTCCCTGATCATCTCAGGCATAAAAGTCTTAGAACAATGCCTGCCATATACTAAGGATTATGTAGATGTTAGCTACTATTATCATTATCTATAATTAAAAGTTTCACCCAAAGTCCCAGCATGCAATGCATGTTTATATTTTCTTTTCTATTCTATTAATTGTGGTCACAATCCAAATTGAGTTTAACCTGCTAGTGGCCTGGGTCACAGTTGAAACGACCATTTCAGGCAATTGTCTTAGAAGGGGTCCTGCCATCCAGCTCACGGGTCTTCTGCTCTCAGGACTAAGTCCAGCTCCTAACCTGCCATTTGAGCCCCTGCCAGACTTGGTCTTGCCTGCCCACAGCCTTGCTTCCACTGCAGTCACTGGCCTCAGCTCTTACCCAAGACAAGCTGGGTTCTCTTACTTTTGGGGGACACAGAAAGAACAAGTGTGGTGTCTTTCCCAAGTGCCAGGCGGACCATGGCTTCCTTCTGCTCAGAACCTTCTTGTGGCTCTTCAGTGCCCTCTGAATAAAATCCAGTCCCCTCATAAGGCCCAGGAGGAGCTGGCCCGCACTGAATCTAACCACAATCCCTCTTGCTGTATGGTCTCCGACCATCTGGTCCTCTTTCAGTTCCCCTAAGGCTGTGTTTCCTCCCGACTCAGGCCCTTTGCACTCGTGTTGACTCTGCTCCCCACCCCAAGCCTGACATACACAGAACCCTTTATGTGACCTTTCAACTTAAATGACATCTCCTACAGGAAGCCCTCCCTGGACAGGGCCTGCAGAGCTCTGCAACTAGGCCCCACCTCATCTCTCTTCTCACAGTGGCTCACAGGAGCTCTATTTTCCAGACTCTCTCAACCTCTTTTAGTTCCTCATGGCAGCAAAATGTATTCTTTCCTCCCCAATGGTGATGTAACACGTGCGGTTTTCTCTGCCTGGAACACTCTTTCCCACCTCACCTTCACCTAACACCTCCTTCACGTTTCAGCTCACACGTGTCTCCTCTTCCAGGAAGCCTCACCTGATCATCCAAGCTGGGTCAGGAGCCTCCACCGGGCTCTCAAAGCTTCCTGGGCCTTCCCCATCCTGGCCCCGACCCCTCCCCTCTGCCCGCGCCTCCCCAGTCCCGCCCCGACCCTCCGCCCGCGCCTCCCGGTGCCGCCCCGACCCCCTCCTCCTGTGCCTCCCGGGTCCCAGCCCCTCAGCCTAGGCCTCTGAGGTCCCAGTCCCGACCCCTCCGCCCGCGCCTCCCTGGTCCCGCCGGACCCTCCGCCCTCGCCTCCCCGGTCCCACCCTCCGCCTGTGCTGTCCCTATCACAGCCCCGACCACTTCTGAGCTGTCACACGTCTGTGAGCCCTGTGAAGGCAGGGCCTAGGGCTGTCTCAGTCACTGCAGTGTCTCCAGTCCCGGCGGGTACTCAGTGAATGTTGGATGACTGGCTAAGTGACCACTGTGTTCCTCCCCCCCGCCCCCACCCCAGTGTTACCTGTTTCACATGTACGTGGGCGTCCGGGCTGGCGGGGGCATCGGGGATGAGATAGAGGACCCAGCAGGCGACGAGTACGAACTGTACCGGGTGGTCTTCGACATCACTTTCTTCTTCTTCGTCATTGTCATCCTGCTGGCCATCATCCAGGGTGAGCGCTGACTGGGATCGTGGGAGATGGGGCTCGGTGCAGAGGCAGGATCGCCCCTGGCTAAGAGTGCAGACCGCGTATCCAGTCTGCCGGGATTCAAACCCTGGCCCTGCTTGTCCCTACTGTGAGAACTTGGGCAAACGAACTCTTTGGGCCTCAGTTTCTCCATCTGTAAAATGGAGGTGTTAATGATACCCCAACTAACCTTATAGGGGTGTTGTGGGGATTAATTCAACCATCATACATGCTAAGTGTCTGGCACATAGTAAGGACTCAGTAAATGCTAGGTGTTACTATTCTTAGGGAGCGGGGTGAGATTGGGGAGATGAGGGCAGGGTGTGGAAGGCAAGGCCCAGAGGTCCGCAGCCGGGGGATCGAGGAGTCTGAACTGGGTTAGAGGTGGGACACACTGACCCTGCGCCCTGCCACCCCAGGTCTCATCATTGACGCTTTCGGTGAGCTCCGAGACCAGCAAGAGCAAGTGAAGGAGGATATGGAGGTGGGTCTTGTCTGGGGACGACAAGAGGGATTAAGGGACCCTCGGGGGGTCAAGTGGATCTCGACTCTGACGTCTCCCACCATCCACAGACCAAGTGCTTCATCTGCGGAATCGGCAGCGACTACTTTGATTCGACACCGCACGGGTTCGAGACCCACACGCTAGAGGAGCACAACCTGGCCAATTACATGTGAGCGCCGGCCGGCTAGCCAATCAGGAGGGCGGGGGTGTGGCCGCTGGCTGTGTTTGTGTGGGATCCGAGCGGGTGGGTGAATTCCCAGCCAGCCAATCAGGAGAAGGGAAAGGTGAACCTGACGAATCTGCCGGCCCCCGACCCCACAGGTTTTTCCTGATGTACCTGATAAACAAGGACGAGACAGAACACACGGGTCAGGTAAGGGAGTGTTATTGGGGGCACACTGGACAGAGCACGGAGAGATTTAATGTAGAACCAAACCCCCAAAACCCGTAGCCGTCGAGTAGCTGTGGAGTCGATAAGGACTCATAGCAACCCTATAGGACAAAGTAGAACTGCCCCACAGGGTTTCCAAGGCTGTAATCTTTACTGGGAGCCCTGGTGGCTCAGTGGTTAAGAGCTCGTCTGCTAACCAAAAGGTCTGCAGTTGGAATCCACCAGCCGCTCCTTGGAAACGGTATGGGGCAGTTCTACTCTGTCCGATAGGGTCGCTGGGAGTTGGAATAGACCGGACGCAACGGGTTTGGTTTGGGTGTCTAATCTTTACGGAAGCTGACCGCCGCATCTTTCTTGTGGGGAGCAGCTGGTGGGTTCCAACAGGGGATGATAAAAAGGGCACACAAAGCGTTTCAGGATGTGAGCACCTGGCTCTCCCCCTCCCTGCAACTCTAGGAGTCTTATGTCTGGAAGATGTACCAGGAGAGATGCTGGGATTTCTTCCCGGCTGGTGATTGTTTCCGCAAGCAGTATGAGGACCAGCTTAGCTGAGACACCCCAGCTGGCCCTCCCCCCACAAGTGCCTTATTCTCATGGCAAGCCCCTTCGCCCCCAACCCCTTCCCTCTCCCCAGGCATCTGGGGGAGAGGTGACCATGTACTGGAGAAATAAAGTCTGTGCTACGCCCTCTGGCGCCACTGTGTTGGGATGTTGGATTTTGGGGGGATGGGCATCCAGGAATTCTGCTCTCCCTTCTGAAAAACAAGATAACAGCAGAGGCTAAAGTCATGTTTATTTGGAGACAGGGACATGGCATGACCACGAGTGTGTGTCTGTTGGGGAAGGGGGTGCAAGTACTGGTTCCTAACACCGCCCCCCCGACACACACCCAGCGACTCATTCCTGGATGTACAGGTTACTAGGGGCAGTGGGATCATCTACTGGACGCGTCTCCACCACCACAGGCCTGGGGAAGGAAGGAAGAAGTCAGTTCATTCGTTCATTCATTCATTTGTTCATTTATTCCTTCACAAAGTAGTTATAGAGGCTGTGCCAGCACGTTGCTGAGCTGTAGCGGTGACTGGGCAGATGTGGTCCCAGCCTTTGGGGAGGGAAGTCGCAGCTAGAGTGGGAGACCAACATGAATCAGTGAATAACATGAGTGCAAAGAAGCGGGAAAACCTAACTCAGGAGGTCAGCTAAAGCTCCCCCAAAGAATGGATGGTGAAGCTGCAACCTGTAGGAGGCTCAGGAGGAACTTGGTGAAGAGGGTAGGGAAGAGTGTTCTGGGCAGACAAAACAGCCTATGCAAAGGCCTTGAGGTGGGAGGGAGCCTGGGACTTGGCTGGATATGTCACATCCTTGTAGGCTGTGGCCAGTGGCCAGGATTGGGACTATTTGTGCATCAAAATAAATGAATGATAGCAATGGATTATAGCCCATAGAATACAATGGGAACCCATGAGACCATGCTGAGATACACAGACAGATGGTGGACAAGGGACAGTTCTTGCCTACAGGTGAATGCCAACTGATAAACGTAGAAGCAACGGTAGAAGAAGAAAATCACCATTTTGTAACCCTCCTAGTAATAATAGGTTCAGGCAAACATCATCAACAGATGCTGAAAGTAGTGTGTGAGTGTCTGATGAGAAGCAATATCTGTACATAGTCTCCGTGGATCTCCCCCCAAAAATAGTTATTACTACAAAGATAAAGAGAGTAACTTTACAGTAGAGAAACCTGGCTGATTCCAGCTTAACCAAATGATACCACCAGTAATGGGACAAACTGACATCACGTGCCTCCCTGATACGACACACTGAAGACACAAGATTGCTTTTGGTATTCATGCCCCCAAAATGCATAGCCTGGAAACCCCAAACAAACCTACCTGAGGGACACTGACAAAACAACTCTCCTGTACTCTTTAAAAGTATCAAAGTCAGGAAAGACAAAGTCTGAAGAACTGTTCCAAGCTAAAGACTAAAGAAACGTGGCTCCTAAATGCAACCTGTGATCCTGGATTGGATTCAGGACCAGAAAAAAAAAAATTTTGTTATAAAGGGCATCATTGGGACAACTGCTGAAAATGAATGAGTGTATGGATTAGAAGATAGTGATATCTCAGAGTTATTAATTTTGAGGGCTGCGATGTAGTTCTGTAAAAGCATGTCTTTGCTTTGATTTAGGAAATACACACTGAAGTATTTAGGAGTAATGGACATCATGTTTGCACCTTACTCTTAAATGGTTCAGTACAAAGAGAGGGAGGGAGAAAGGAAAAGAGAAGGATAGAGCCAATGTGTTTTTTTTAAAAAAGATAACATTGGGGAAATCTCAATGAAGAGGATACGATAATTTTTTCATTGTTTTTGCAACTTCTCCATAAGTCTAAAATTATGTCAAAATGAAAAATAAAAGGACCATAGACTCGGGGGACATCTACGTCGATTGGCACAACATTGAACATAAAGACAATGTTCTGCATCCTACTTTGGTGAGCAGTGTCTGGGGTCTTAAAAAAAGATACAACTATGGGTCTCTTCCTGTCTGGATCAAGGGAGAGTGAAGGAGACCAAAGACTCAAGGGAGCGGTTAGTCCAAAGGGCTCATGGGCCACATGAACCACAGCCTACATGACCCCGAGACCAACAGAACTAGATGGTGCCTGAGTACCACTACCAACGGCTCCAACTGGATCACAATAGAGGGTCCTGGACAGAACAAGTGAAAATTATAGAACAAAAAATCAAATTCACAAAAAAGACCAGCCTTACTGGTCTGCCAGAGGCTGGAGGAACCCCCAAGATTTTGGCCCTAAGGCACACTTCTGGCCTGGAAAGGAACCTATTCCTGGAGACCACCCCCAGCCAAACAATAGACAAGCACCTAAGATAATAACACCCAAGAGGAACGGACTCCTCAGAACAATCAATTATACGAGATCAAAAGGGCATTATCTGCCCAAAAGCAAAGGTGAGAAGGCAGGAAGGGGTAAAAAATCAGGACGAAAGAAAATGGGAAAACCACAGTGGAAATGGGGAGAGTGCTCACACATTGTGGCAAATGAAACCAAGGTCATGAAACACTTTATGTACAAGCTATTGAATGGGAAACTAACTTGCTCTGTAAACTTTCACCTAAAATACAATAAAAAAAAGAAAGAACATACCCCTTGGCTGCTGTGGGGGGAATGGACAGTAGGGGGCAGGACTGGAAGTAAGGAGACCAGGTTAAAGACTGTCCAGGCCAAAGGTACAGGTGACTGGGGACACCTCAGGGTTTCCTCCCCCCATCAGAAGTCCCCCTCTCGGGTCCTTCTGTGTCCCCCCCACCCCAGATCATACCTGGGGGAGCCAAGAAGACGGAAGGTGAGGGTGGGGTCTCTCAGCTCCTGCAGCAGCTGGGGGAAAGGTAAGTGTGTATCAGTGTCTAGAAGACTCCTCCCCTCTCCCCAGAAACATGGCTCCCTTCAAGAGCACAGGGGGAGACGTCTGAACACGTAGCCTCAGGTCCTGAAATGATCATGCTTACCAATACCTCTCACCAGCTATGCTGTCTCAGGCAAATTACTTAACCTCTCTGTGTGTGAGATTACTAATCTGGGAATTGCAGTACCTACCTAATAGGTGACTGTGAAGATTAAGTAAAATACTGAAGTGTGAGGGCAGAGTCTGACACAGTGTTCTATGAGATAAGCACCATTTTTCTCTTCATTTTCAGATGTGGAAAATGAGGCCCAGGAAGGTTAAGTCATTCGCCTAACACCCCTCAGCTGGGTTCCAACTCTGGCAGTGTAGTCCATGTTCTTAAACACCCATATGTCTCTATCTTGACCACTTCCACCCCCCACCATTTTACAGTTGGGGAACTGAGGCTCAGGGAGACACAAAGTCCCTTGCACAAGATCCCACAGTGGCACGGGATGAGATCTGGACTCAAGAGACCCTGGGGCAAAGAACGGGACCTGTCTCAACTGAGACTGGAGGAAACTTCTCCTCCAGGTCTTCGCATCCTGAGTCAGTTCTCCCAGCCCATCTGATAAATGTGATGACCGAGGGGGCAGGGCTGTGAGGTTGGGGTGGGGGGACTTACCTGGTCTGAGCCTGGAGCCCACACCTGCACTCCATGCTTCCAGAAGGCCTGGAGTCGACCCCCAACCATAGCTGGGGGGAAAGCAGTGCCCGTTACCCTTGGGGATCACTTGAGCCCGCACCTCCGACCCTGGGCCCACCAGCCCTGCACGTACCCACGGCCTCCACCGCTTCACTCATGGGGATCTCCGAGGTGCGAAGCCCCCGGACTGGAGCCCCCTCCGGGGTCACCAGCTTCAAAGTGCCTGGCATAGGATACAAAAAAGGTTTTAAGAGCCGTGGGCGGGACTTAGAGGGTCACTGAGAGACCAAGCAATAGATTCAATGTGAGAAGCCAAGTAGGTAGGGGGTGAGGCCTGGAGGAGCTCAGCATTTCCGAGAGGGGTTTGGGGGCAGAGCCAGGGAGGGGGCTGGGGAGAAGGTTCTTACCATCCATCAAAACCATCACCATGTCTTCCTCCACCTGGGTCACCTGCACTGGTCCCTTGTGCTCTGTAAGAGAGAAGGGGGCTCAGGGACCCATCCCTCCTCACAAGAAGACCAGTCCCTCTGTTAAGCACCCTCTTCTTCCCCCAGTCTCCCGTTGCGTCGAGTTGATTCCAACTCATAGCGACCCCATAGGACAGAGTAGAATTACCCCATAAGGCGTCCAAGGAGCAGCTGGTGGATTCGAACTGCCGACCTTTTGGTTAGCAGCCGAGCTCTTACCCACTGCGCCACCGCCCTGCTTACTATCAGAGCCCCCTCCTTCATCAACCTCATCCATTAAGTAAGACCGGTCTTGAGGGGGCAGGCTCCACCTCTTTCTCACTAACCCCTCGGGCTAAGCCCCGCCCACCTACCAGACCCACCCCTCCCGAGCTGACCCCTCGCAGCAGCCCCGCCCACAGCGAGACCCTGCGCCACTCACCGGTGCTCATCTCGCCCAACCAGCAAGAGAGCGCGCCGAAGCGCACGGTGTGGAAGAGCACGGACTTCGCCGGCTTCCTGGTGCTCACGCCGATGCACACGGCGGGCAGCTCGGAGCCCGGCCCGGTCAGCAGCGTGAACACCGACAAGGGCGAGGGCAGTGGAAACAGCACCTGCTACGGGCCGCACAGAAAGGGGCAGGCTCAGAGCACGCCTGGGGCGCGGCCTCGGAGGGAAGCAGGCCTGGGACTTCCCAAGTCTTTCCTGGATCCTCATTCTTGGGATTTCTAAACTCTCAGAGGGATTAGAAATTAAGGGGTAGGAGCCTCACAGGAGGCAAGGCTTCCGTTTGGGGACTTGCCACATTGGCGACTGAGAGGCAGGTTCTCAGGGGCGTGGCCTCAATTAGAGACGCCACGGCGGCGGGGGTGCCCCATAGGGCCTGAGGACTGCTTAAGCCCAAGTGTGCGGGGCGGAGTTTGTTGTTGTCAGGTGCCCACGAGTCGGTTCCGACTCATAGCGACTCTATAGGAAAGAGTAGGGGTAGCTTTCCAAGGAGCGGCTGGTGGATTC